CCACCCCCTCTCCCCCAATAGCAAGGTTGCTCTCACATCTACAGCGCGCTTTGCACCAACGTTGCTTACGGGGGTTCAGGGGGTTAAATGAATTAAATGGACCCCATTTAGGACCTGAAGGAGCGTACAGGAGCTTCTGGTTTGGTCTCTACCCTTACTTAAGGGGACGTGGAGTCTCCGGAAAGCGTAGGAAAAACCCACAAGAGAACTTGGAGCATTCACCAACTGAGCAACAAAGTTGGACTGCAAGTAAGCTGCTTCAAAGCTTGTTCTAAGTCGCAGATGCTGGAGTGAGGCACAAGTTAAACAGATGGGCGAAAAATGGTTGTAGGGCATGCGATTTGTATTGGCAACCCTACCCTAAACCCAGAGACCCCAAAACTCCGTTATTGAGAGGCACACAGTAAACTAGAACAAGCCTTGATATGAGTTTAGTCACCAAATCCATGCCTGCTAGGAGGACGTTAGAAGGATGCTGGGAGCCAAATCCATGCCTGCTAGGAGGACGTTAGAAGGATGCTGGGAGAAATCTAGAAATTCCTACGAGGACGTTACTGTCCCAGTCACGAAATCCCACGCCTGCTACGAGGACGCTACGAGGACATTACGAGGACATGTACAAATTACTACGAGGACGCCATTTTTCAATATATAGACTCAAGAACATGTGTATTTTGTATTGAAAAATGGCGTCCTCGTAGTAATTTGTACATGTCCTCGTAATGTCCTCGTAGCGTCCTCGTAGCAGGCGTGGGATTTCGTGACTGGAACAATGACATCCTCGTAGAAATTTCTACATAGCATGGGATTTGGTGACTGGAACAATGGCGTCCTCGCAGAAATTTCACATTGCTGCCAACATCCTCAGTTTAAAATCCTGCTGGCAGGCATGGGGTTTGGTGACACAGCTGCATCCTGGCACACCGTCTAGATTGCTCGCAGCATCCCTCTAATGTCGTCGTCGCCTGACATTATCTCTGACGCAATTGCCGCGAGACCTCCGAAACCACGTCCTTGACTTTGCTGCGGAAAGCATCTTTGATGGGCACAGATTGAAGGTCTAGAAAGCGGCTGACTTTGTCATTGAGTTGCTTCTTCCCCCCACAGTGCAACAGCTTTTTGCTGTTCCCATTCAACGCAGCACACATCGGAAAGAAGAGCATGCACGTAAATCACCCGTCACACGTCCTGGATTAAGAGGTCTCATTTCCGGGGTCGGAAAGTGGGTCTGGTTTGCGGGCCTTCTCCACTTGGGGCTCCTATTTTGGGCCTGAAATCGGGATCAGAAAACAAAACCACGACATCGCCAAACCTAGGACCTGGAACAGGCTGCAGTTGTGTCGCACGGGCGCTTACTCGGGTTCACCAACCCAACCCGACACGTACAGTTGAGGGAACTTGTGTCCACACTGCATGTGTGACCGCTTTCTAGCTCCGGAAACTTGGCCGCAGACACGAGCCTCAAAGCAGTCGCAGTGTGCACCACCCCCTCTCCCCCAATAGCAAGGTTGCTCTCACATCTACAGCGCGCTTTGCACCAACGTTGCTTACGGGGGTTCAGGGGGTTAAATGAATTAAATGGACCCCATTTAGGACCTGAAGGAGCGTACAGGAGCTTCTGGTTTGGTCTCTACCCTTACTTAAGGGGACGTGGAGTCTCCGGAAAGCGTAGGAAAAACCCACAAGAGAACTTGGAGCATTCACCAACTGAGCAACAAAATTGGACTGCAAGTAAGCTGCTTCAAAGCTTGTTCTAAGTCGCAGATGCTGGAGTGAGGCACAAGTTAAACAGATGGGCAAAAAATGGTTGTAGGGCATGCGATTTGTATTGGCAACCCTACCCTAAACCCAGAGACCCCAAAACCCCGTTATTGAGAGGCACACAGTAAACTAGAATAAGCCTTGATATGAGTTTAGTCACCAAATCCATGCCTGCTAGGAGGACGTTAGAAGGATGCTGGGAGAAATCTAGAAATTCCTACGAGGACGTTACTGTCCCAGTCACGAAATCCCACGCCTGCTACGAGGACGCTACGAGGACATGTACAAATTACTACGAGGACGCCATTTTTCAATACAAAATACACATGTTCTTGAGTCTATATATTGAAAAATGGCGTCCTCGTAGTAATTTGTACATGTCCTCGTAATGTCCTCGTAGCGTCCTCGTAGCAGGCGTGGGATTTCGTGACTGGACCAATGACATCCTCGTAGAAATTTCTACATAGCATGGGATTTGGTGACTGGAACAATGGCGTCCTCGCAGAAATTTCACGTTGCTGCCAACATCCTCAGTTTAAAATCCTGCTGGCAGGCATGGGGTTTGGTGACACAGCTGCATCCTGGTACACTGTCTAGATTGCTCGCAGCATCCCTCTAATGTCGTCGTCGCCTGACATTATCTCTGACGCAATTGCCGCGAGACCTCCGAAACCACGTCCTTGACTTTGCTGCGGAAAGCATCTTTGATGGGCACAGATTGAAGGTCTAGAAAGCGGCTGACTTTGTCATTGAGTTGCTTCTTCCCCCCACAGTGCAACAGCTTTTTGCTGTTCCCATTCAACGCAGCACACATCGGAAAGAAGAGCATGCACGTAAATCACCCGTCACACGTCCTGGATTAAGAGGTCTCATTTCCGGGGTCGGAAAGTGGGTCTGGTTTGCGGGCCTTCTCCACTTGGGGCTCCTATTTTGGGCCTGAAATCGGGATCAGAAAACAAAACCACGACATCGCCAAACCTAGGACCTGGAACAGGCTGCAGTTGTGTCGCATGGGCGCTTACTCGGGTTCACCAACCCAACCCGACACGTACAGTTGAGGGAACTTGTGTCCACACTGCATGTGTGACCGCTTTCTAGCTCCGGAAACTTGGCCGCAGACACGAGCCTCAAAGCAGTCGCAGTGTGCACCACCCCCTCTCCCCCAATAGCAAGGTTGCTCTCACATCTACAGCGCGCTTTGCACCAACGTTGCTTACGGGGGTTCAGGGGGTTAAATGAATTAAATGGACCCCATTTAGGACCTGAAGGAGCGTACAGGAGCTTCTGGTTTGGTCTCTACCCTTACTTAAGGGGACGTGGAGTCTCCGGAAAGCGTAGGAAAAACCCACAAGAGAACTTGGAGCATTCACCAACTGAGCAACAAAATTGGACTGCAAGTAAGCTGCTTCAAAGCTTGCTCTAAGTCGCAGATGCTGGAGTGAAGCACAAGTTAAACAGATGGGCAAAAAATGGTTGTAGGGCATGCGATTTGTATTGGCAACCCTACCCTAAACCCAGAGACACCAAAACCCCGTTATTGAGAGGCACACAGTAAACTAGAATAAGCCTTGATATGAGTTTAGTCACCAAATCCATGCCTGCTAGGAGGACGTTAGAAGGATGCTGGGAGAAATCTAGAAATTCCTACGAGGACGTTACTGTCCCAGTCACGAAATCCCACGCCTGCTACGAGGACGCTACGAGGACATTACGAGGACATGTACAAATTACTACGAGGACGCCATTTTTCAATACAAAATACACATGTTCTTGAGTCTATATATTGAAAAATGGCGTCCTCGTAGTAATTTGTACATGTCCTCGTAAAGGCCTCGTAGCGTCCTCGTAGCAGGCGTGGGATTTCGTGACTGGAACAATGACATCCTCGTAGAAATTTCTACATAGCATGGGATTTGGTGACTGGAACAATGGCGTCCTCGCAGAAATTTCACATTGCTGCCAACATCCTCAGTTTAAAATCCTGCTGGCAGGCATGGGGTTTGGTGACACAGCTGCTTATAGCTAAAGCTACTTTTCGCAAGAATATAATATTTGAAAAGAGTCATTCTCAAACAATCAATCAATCATATATTGCACGAGAATATAAATGCGCAGACAATTGCAGCATTCAGAACGCACATGCAGTCGGACTCACTCTTTTTTTCTGAAAGGCGGCACAGCCGATTCGGGAAAGATCCGACACTCGAGAGACAGCCGATCGAGCATCATTCACGAGGATTGAGCTCGTTCAACAATCTCCCGGGTGGGTTGGGTGGGACAAAAATTTTCGAATCTCGCCAGATGGCGAACTCGATCCACAAATGACTGCCGAATGCGAAGTCATTCACAGGAACAATATCAAGGTTCGCATCAGGACGAGAGTTCGCAGCAAAACAACAGGTTAAAAGTCAGATTGTTTGCCCCCCCAGGTTCAAAGAAAGTCGTGCGAAAAGCGAGTTTCAAAAGCAACGTCGCATTTGAAACATAGCTTGAGCTATAAAGCCAAATGAAACAAGTTTCAAAGTAGGCTTATAGCTAAAGCTACTTTTCGCAAGAATATAATATTTGAAAAGAGTCATTCTCAAACAATCAATCAATCATATATTGCACGAGAATATAAATGTGCAGACAATTGCAGCATTCAGAACGCACATGCAGTCGGACTCACTCTTTTTTTCTGAAAGGCGGCACAGCCGATTCGGGAAAGATCCGACACTCGAGAGACAGCCGATCGAGCATCATTCACGAGGATTGAGCTCGTTCAACAATCTCCCATCTCACCAAACGAACTCAAGAGCTCGCCTGATATGCAGCACTTCGGATGATCCCTCGAGCATGTGCCCCAAACTGGGAAAAGGCCGGACCCCCTAGACGGAGGGTCTGCAGGATTGCTTTGGCTGGGAACGCGGGCATACCAGGCGATCATAGGTTTGGTATCCGCTTCCTCAAGCTTCAAAAGGATGAGCCGCCAGAGGCGGTCGTGTGATGATCCATTGACGCACGCGGCGTGCACCCCGGCGTGGTCGATGAAGAAAATGCCTTTGGCGAAATCGAGAAACTCTCGCCACAACAGTCTTGCTGTGGCCACTGCGTACAATTCAACGGGCCCTATCAAGTGTTTCTTCCCAGAAGCACTCCAAGTCTTAACAAGCGAATCGGGCAGTCGGCAGCCAAAGAATCGAGTGGACCACTTGCCGGAGCTCTCAACATACAGCACCCCACCGATGGAGCACAGCATGCTACCACCCTCCGGCTCGCAAGCCCCCTGTAAACACAATAACATTCGCCCCAGGTGGGCGAGCGGAGATCGCCCGGGGCGGCCCATGAAGCAAACGCTCACGAAGATTCTGGAAGGCATGACGTTCTGAGTCCCCAAGCTTGAGGATTCCCCCGGAAGTCCCAAGGGAGCGAAGCTCAGACAAAGCCAGTCGCCCCATGCGTCCCATGAGTTGCCCTTCAAGAAACTGGATCCTCCCGAAGAGGGAAGCGATTTCCGCAGACCGGATGGCGCCCCTATCAAGAACCTCATCGACAGAGGCGGCCACCTCGCAGCACTTTACCTCCCGGTTGCGCACACGCACCTCGGACAAGTCTTCACAAGAGAGGTCTACCGTGACTCCCAAGACGTCGGCACTGCTCTTGAACGGCTCTTCCTTCTCGGTAGAGCACTCGAAGCCGAGTAGGTCAGGTATGCAATGGGCTGTGGAGTCGGCGCTCCCCGACAGGGCGGATAACTCCAACACCGGAAAATCATCAAAATAGTTACAGTTCAAGATCCAGGCTTCCTGAAGAATCAGGCGTGCAACCCTGTTAAAGCAAGTCACACTCCCCGAGGCCCCGAAGGGAAGGACTCTTGATGCGTAGCCCCGCACTTGACTGCTGTCCGGATGTTTCAAGAAGACCACACAAAACCTGCGATGCTCCGGGTGGAGCGGTAGCTGTTTATACGCCGCCTTCAAGTCGATAGTTTTCAACAAGGGGCGGGCGCGGTCGGTCTTGATCCTCCAGAAGTCGTGAAGAGGTCCCGAGATCACCCGACCACAGGAGAGGACAAGGTGGACGGCTCCTTTTTGCACAAGTACTCGCAGTAAGTGGCACACCAAACAAGCTCGTCGAAGGCACGCAAGGTGAGTTTGTCACAAGCGGCAAATGCGCTGTTTGCACCGTTGGCGGCTAAGTCGTCGATGGGGCGCAATTTGTCGCGTTGGCGCACACCAAACCTTTTGGCCGGGAGCCAATCCCCGAACAAAAGCTCAAGTTCCTCCCAAGTGCGTGGTTGCTCAAGCCATCCCTTCTCGCGGTATTCAGCCTCAGTGATTTCAAAAAGCTCGCGAGAGTTCGCATCCAGCGGAGAGTCGTTGATCTGTCCCCAGATCAAGGGCTTGGTTGATCGAGACTGAGCCAGCAACTCCTCAGGCGTGAGGGTCGCTGGTCGAGGCTCAAGGGGGAAAATTCCGCTCGGGAACTCCTCGCCCACGATCTTGAAACCACTGGTCATATCCTGATGCAAGCGGGTGTCAGGCCATTGCAAGGATTTGGCTATGCGATCAAGGAGGAGCAGGCGCTTCCCCTTGACCACTTCGGCAACAGAAGGGGCCAAGGATTTGTGCAGTTCAGCCTCGGCCGGTTCAAGTTCGGCTGCCCAAGCTTTCCACTGGGTTATCATATCCAATTTCCGTCTGAGGACCTTGACAGGGCCCTCGATGAGTAGATGGCCCAGGACGACCATAGCTTGATCGGGCAGCGCCCTGCACATGTCACAAGGATGGCCAACACTCAAAGCCCGTTCCGCAAACTGAAGAGGGCTTCAGTAGACTCCACACGTGACGGAAACCAATTTTCCGATTCCCAAGTCAGACAGCTGAGAAGAAACCTTTCGGTCGGGTCTAGGGCGCTTAGGGAAAACTACACCCGCCTCAAAATTAACCCTAAGAACCCGAGAGCCGGCAGGAACAGGGCCTAATGCCTCCACGAGGCAATTCTTAGGGTCAAGCAAGGGCAGGGCACTCGAAGGCGCGGGCACGGTAACCTGATAGTGGTATTCCTCGACCAGCACGACGGCCTTGGAAACACGCGGCTGGAGCTGATTAGCTGCACGGGCCGAAGCATTGGTAACAAGGGCTGGCGTCGGCACAGTGTCAAGTTGACCGGCAGCCAGGGCAAGGGCAGATGCATATTTAGTAGTGCACTAGCTCCTATATCCCACCACCATCCCCAGACACCTCCAGGACGATAGCAGTAGGTAGTAGTTAGCTGCGAGCTAGCCGAGCGACGATCAAACGCGACAAGAACCCTCAGCTAGCACGGACGCACTTTTGTCTGGAGTGGCAACTATCCCAGGTTGCCTGGAGATATCCGATAGCCTTCGGCTATCCATCCCCAGGGTGGGCAGGGCGGGTACTTCAAAATTACCCCCCTGATGGGGGACTTTATCCAGAATGGCAACGGTCCATACATGTTCGTAGCCATTCCAAGTCACAGCTATCCTGTCTGCGCATGTCAGAGGCAACTCTCCTGCGACCGACGATAGCGACGAAACTTCGTTTCTAGCGAAGCTACCTTCAATAGCTTCGTGTAGAAATAGGTTAGCTAGCACACATAGTCGTAACTCGTTCCTCGTCACGAGGTACGTGCACTAGCTCCTATATCCCACCACCATCCCCAGACACCTCCAAGACGATAGCAGTAGGTAGTAGTTAGCTGCGAGCTAGCCGAGCGACGATCAAACGCGACAAGAACCCTCAGCTAGCACGGACGCACTTTTGTCTGGAGTGGCAACTATCCCAGGTTGCCTGGAGATATCCGATAGCCTTCGGCTATCCATCCCCATGCGTCGCCACTCAGGCTACCAGGGATCGAGCCTCCTGGCCTTTCGGCTGAACTTGGACACCCTATCCGGGGTCCCTCGCTTTCGCGTGCCTAGCTCCTTATAGAAGCTATCTGCATGCGCGAGTAGCCGGCCAAGAACTCGCCACTTGAAATCCTCCCCCTTCAGATCTATCCTCTGATCGGGGTCAAATTCCTTGAACTCCTCGTTGGTGAGGTCGTCCGCTAGCTGGTTGATGTCTCTCCGTATCCACTGGAGCTGTAGCTCACAGTTCTTCTGGGATAGCTCTTCGGCTACCTCCATTAAAACTAGCATGGATGGATACTTGGTCGTCATAGCCTTCTTCACAAGTGCCTCGTTGGACTTGTTGTCCGTGTATCCACGGATGGCCACTCGCGAGGTTTTCCTATCCTCGCCCTCGGGGACCCAGAGACGTATCCCCACGAGGGTCGCTAGCAGTTCCAGCGCAGCTATCACTTTCTTGGGATCGCCTTTCGCAAAGGCCCAAGGAGCCCAGGCCCTATCCACTTCTAGTGAAAACCAGGGACCCGGCTTCCCTTCGGATGTCTCCAGGAAGCCCCCTATCCAGGCCCTATCGGACTCAGCTTTGGCATCCGTGACAAAACTCAGAGGTGGTAGCCCAGCGTAGAGTGTCACAGGACGTTGTAGCCTCTCGCCCTGGTCGAGCTTGTCGGCTAGCCATCTCATCAGGACCCTGAGCATCGTAGGAATGATGAGGTATCCAGATTTCCCCTGGATAGCCGCGCTCCAGGCATGGAGCGGCCCCAGGAAGGGTCTCTGCCAGTCCAGGGCTATAGCCGCAAATCCCAGACGTCCTAGCCCTTGCTGCATCTCCTTGGCCGTGACCTTGCCGGAGGTCACCTTGTCGTTCAGCCAAGTGGATAGCCAGGACGCTCGCTTCTTTGACATCCCTATAGCCTGTGGGAGGAGTACTCCGTCTCCATTCCCAGCCACTCCACTCTATAGCCACCTCGAGTCTTCGCCCACTTGAAGGGATATCCCAGAACAGAGAGGAGGAGGTAGCTCAGAGGAATTCCCTTCCTCCCCTCCGTTCCTATCCCCAGGGCCTCGAGGTCATCGGCATATAGCAGGAGGTCGATGGGATAGCCGGGTCCCAACAGGTGATGGGTTGCCCGAAGCCCACATGCGGCTATCCTAGTCCACCAGTAGCTCGCCGGTGATAGCCCGAAGGTCCCCACCTTGTTAACGTAGACGATCTGGCTATCCGGGTCCCCGGGAATCGTCTCCTCGGTGTCTATCTGGCAGCCCATGAAGCCGTGCTCGCTAGCCTGATGCTTGTATCTCCTGTGGGCCTTCGAGATATCCCCCACCACCGAAAAGGCAATCTCGCCGCAACGTATCAGCTCGCGGAGGATTTGCTTCTTCTCTCTAGCCCCTGGAGCACGGATCTTATCCCGGCATCGTATCCGGTGGTTCACCCTGACGCCGTGGGTCGCATCGTGAATTATCCGCTTCTTGTCCTTCTCCTCGTCCTCGACTATCACCGCTAAGGAGGCAATAGCCCTGTTCTCGCCGAACCTCGCCTTGAACTCGCCCAAGGTCATCTTCTCCATAAGACCCTCCTCGACGTCCTCGTCGAACTTAGCCCGCACAAACTCACGGTGGTCGCCAACTGAGGAGTAGTTCGGCACCCACGCTAGCGCCGGCTCCCAAGGAGCGTTGTCGAGCCTCCAGGATGCCTGCTCCTCGAAAACGTGCGGCGTCCGAGGTAGCCCTTCCAATATCCCCAGAGGTAGGCCCTCCTCGGCCCGGCGAAGAAATTCTCTATCTGGATCGCCCGCAGCCTCGAGGATCGCCCGAAGTAGCCGTAGCCGGAGAGGTTGTCCCGGAGGGACTTCTAGCAGGTTGGGCTCGCTGAGGTCCTGGCCCTCTATCCAAGTCTGCAGCAGCTGGAGTAACTCCTCATGCAGTTGGCTATCCCGAACCAAGTTGCATGCCGACTCGCCCCCCATAGCCATGCGGAAGGCCTCCTTCTCCAACTCGTTTTCGGACCCAGCTCGCCTGACCACTATCTCCCTGATCTTAGCACGTAGCCAGTCCCAAGATTCTCCTTCAGCGTATCCTCGAGAGTGTCGGGGCCATCGCCCAGGAGAGCATAGCCCACCCCCGTCGTGGAATTCTTTTATCCCATCATTCTGGTGGCATCGCCGGGGCGGACCTTTGCCGCCTTCTAGCCGTGGACCCTCAGGTTGGTTCGTGACATAGCCGAGGTCGTCGGTGTTCTCCATATCCTGCACCGTATGTATCCCCGATCCGGAGGCAGTCGGAGCAGCAGCTGTGCAGGTTGTAAGGGCTAGCTGTGCTAGCCAGAGGGAAAGGCCTGAAGGCCACTCGCCCAGAGCAGAAGTAGCCAGCATCGGGCTGCATGCCGCCGAAGATGTAGCCGCAGGCGGAAGGGGGCCCAAGTAGCCCCCGTCAGCGTCGAAGGTGGGAAGCCCTTCGTCATAGACCGTATTTGGCATATCCAATGTCGTCTTTAAAAGTAGCCGCGTCGGCTTCGCCGAAGGTGCTCCAAATTTATCCAGGTGCAAAGCCACGGATCGTAGCCCTTTGGTGGCTAGCTTGGCATGTGCTTCCCACTGCCACATGCTAGCCGGTCGCTGGCCCTTGTAGGGGCCTGCTGGCATAGCCCCCAGGTCTTCCGGCTGCTCCAAAACGAAGAAGGTAGCCGAGTCGAGCGCAGCCCTAGCTACTTCAAAGGAAAAATCAGCGAAAATGTTACCAAGAATAGCCCGGTCTCTCTCCTTGGCGGTCAGCTTGGTTAGCCCCCGTGGCTCGCCGAAGCTGCGTACTGGCCGGGGGCCCTTGCGGTTAGCCCAGCTCGCCCTGGAGAAGGTAGCCACCGGAGGCGACATAGCCACCACGTCGTAGCTCCCCGACTGGACCATGTGGAGGTATTTAGCCCGCACCGTGGATTCCGCCAAGTCGAGTGAGGGTCTCCGAGCAATATCCACGCAACATATCTCCACGTCGAGGCCAAAAGAGGATGCTAGCCGTCGGAGGTGGCCCTGGAAGCTACCTAGCCTTTCTCTCCCCGAGAACAGGTAAAGGACCCGTAGCCGGCGAAGTGCAGAAGCCGCTGGCCGTGTAGCCGCTGGAGCGGTAGCCGGTGGTTCTGGAAGTCAGTTAGCCGCCGTCGATGGTGCCGAAGGGGTAGCCGTGCCAGGGCAGTTGGTCGCCGAGTGCTGGCCCCGGCACTTCGTACAGACATGTACGAAGTGACACTTATCCCCTTTCTTACACCCACCTTTCAAATTAAAGCGAAAACAAATCGGCTTATTATCCTCGGTGCGGTGAAAGGCGCCGGTCTTAGCCTTCTTGTTGCTGTCCTTGCCGTCCTTGCCCTTGCCTTTGCCCTTGCCCTTCTTGTTGTGCTTATCCGGCAAGGCGTTGGCGCTATCCCAGGACCAGGGCTGCGGCCTTTTAGCGCAGAGCGACAAAGGCGTATAGTGAAGTGCCTCTCCTTGGTAGCCGCATCCTTCCAGGACTGGACTAGCGCATCGGCGAAGGCTATCCCTTTCAGGCCATTTGCTTGTAGGTCTGTTTCCGGATAGCGTTCTCGTAGGATAGCACCAAAGTCCAGGGAGGAGCCAAGGAGCCACTAGCCTCATTGGATCGTAGCCCATAGCAGAAGTCTCCGAGCAAGTAGTCTTTGTACTTCTCAAAGAGCTGGAAGTCGATATCCTTCAGCTCTGCTCGCCCTGGGTGCTGCAAGCCTATCATGAGAAGTGCATTTTGCATGACTGTTAGCCGGAGGCGAAGTTGCTCCGGGCCCGACGGCATAGCCCCCTTGGAGGTAGCCTTCTTGAGCACAAGGGCGGTGCCTTTGCTATCCCACTGTGGGACTAGCACATCCGGGT